GGGGGGAGGGAAACGACCCGTGAGGCTGGTGAGCAGGGACCCTTGTCTCCAATCCCTTGGGCAAGGGAGTGATTTGAGACAATCTATGGCATAGTGGTGATGCATTGAGTTGCAAACTGCACGGTCAACAGTTCAAAACCACCAGCCACTCCTCAGGAGAAAGACAGGGCCTTCTCCTCCTGTCGAGCCACAGTCTCAGAACGCACAGGGGCAGTTCTATCCTGTCCTGGAGGGTCGCTATGTCTTGGCATCGGTTTGATGATGGCGGCGAGTTTTGTTGTTGCTGTTTTTTGATTTATGGAAGGTTTAAGGAGCCCTGATGGTGTCGTGGTTACAAGCTAGGCTGCTGATCTCAAGGTCAGCAGAGCAAAACTGCCAGCTGCTGGGTGGGGGTGGGGGTGGGGGAGGGTGAGAAAGACAGGGCTTCCTACGCCCGTAAAGAGTGACAGTCTTGGGAATTCACAGGGGCAGCTCTATCCTGTCCTGGAGGGTCGCTATGAATTGGCATCCACTCAATGGCAGTGAGTTTGGTTTCTCGCTAGGGTGGCATAGTGGGTAATGGATTGGGCTGCTGGTTTGAATGGATTGGGTAAGTGGTTTGAACCCACCCGCCACTCCGAGGGAGAAAGGTGAGGCTGTCTGCTCCCGTCAGGAGTTACAGCCTGGGAACCCCACGGGGTACTTCTCAGCCCACAAGGTCACCGTGTGTCAGAATTCATTCATTGGCAGTGAGTTGATCGGGCTTGTGGAGGAAGGGATGGCCCGCCCCGCCCGCCCAGCAGATTGGAAAGCCTCAGGCTATCTAGTTTATTGGGTTGGGGTGGGGTAAGGATGGAGGGGCCTAGAGGATGGGCGCGGGAGGCTGGAGGCTCAGGACCCCGCTGGGCTGGGTGGCGGCAGCACATACCCATGGTGGCAGAGAAGATGACGATGCCCAGCACGTTCATGCCTTCGCTGGTGCCAGGCTCTGACTTGTAAATGACCTCGGGTGGCGGGGTCAGGTCCAGGGCGAAATTCTGCACGCGGGAGCTGTTCTCCTCCTGCACCTCATAGATGAGGACCCGCCGGGGAGGTGCCTCCCCTGCAGCCACCTTGGGAGACTTCACCACGGGGGTGGTCTTGGTGCGGTACTGGTGGGCGACACCGGACCAGGAGAGCAGTCAGTGCTGAGTGGGAGGAATACCCACCCCTGTCCTACACTAGCCCCGGGCGGCCGGCAGGGCAGTAGCTTCAAGGGTTGCTAACCAGAAAACAAAGATTCCATTCTCCGTTCACATACTCCCTGGATTCCCACCTCCTCTTGCTCCCCCACTTCTGTCCCCACATACGTTCACCAGCACCCCCACCCCTTCTAACCACCCACCACACTCTTCACCTCCCCACGTGAGTTTCCAGTCACCATCGAGCCCAGCCAGTCGGCTCCACCTGTCACCGGCCAGAAGCATGGGCCCTCTGTTGTCAAAAGCTCTACCTCCTGTACCAGCTTGGACCCAGAGCCACCTATGCCGGCTCCTCTGTTGCCAGCCGTGTCCCCAGGTCTCCCCGCCACTCATTCCCCAGCCCAAGCAAGGCAGCTTCCTATTCTCCCAGACCCCGTCACCAGTAAGACAAGCCTCCTAAAGAGGGATTAAAGAGCTACCCAGTCTCCTTGCTTCCACTCCTCATCTGTGAGATGGGCATTGTGATCGTTCTTCCTCCCTGGACTAAGAGACAATATATGCCAAGGGCATACGACAGAGCCTACCACGTGGTAGGCCCGAGGGTAACATTACTGCTATCACTGGCACCAGGCACAGCACCAGCACCATCACATTCTGGTGTTGGCTGCACCATGCTGGGAGCTGTACTGAGCACTCAGCAATGAGGAAGGTGCTGTTCCTGCTGTGTGAGAGGGAGTCAACTCGGAAGGAATCAGAGACGCTTCTCAAAGGAGGGGGCATTTGAGCTGGGTCTTGCAGGACAGGTAGGAGTTTGCCAAAAGGAGAAGGGTGTACAAATACCCACGTGTCAGCAAACTGTCGTGTGTGAGGCTACTCACGACCATGCTACAGAAGGATGGTTTTTAAAGGGAAGAGAAAACCGGCATAGAAGCCAGCCCCGCCTGGGTTTACCTGCAGGCACTGACATGTCCTAGTGGCATAACCTTGGGGACAGAGTGTAATCCTTCAAGCCCCTGCTTCCCCCCATCTAGGAAATGCCCCCTCCCCGCCCCCGTGTAGGGACATTGTGAGATGATGGCGGGGCAGCCAGAGGAGGCACTCAGTAACGACTTCCTCCCAGCGCCTTCATGAAGACCTAGGACCCAGGGCAGGGATGTGGCCGTGGGCAGTTGGAAGGGCTGAAGTCCCACCTCCCTCAGCAAACAGGGTAGGAGAAGAGCTGAGAACCTGGGGCCTCCGGGTCACACCTGGCTCCTCCCAGGCAGGCCCCCAGGCCAGCCCCTTCCCTCCGTTACTCAGAGACCCACTCACCTGCTTGAATGTGGCTTCCACGAGGTTGGCTGGGAACATGTTCCTGGAAGAGAATCCATCATTGAAGGATTCTGGCTCCTGGGGAATTGGGACTGGGCACTTGGGGTCCTTTGGAGGTCCCTGTAGACAGTGGAAGGCTCCCATGCTCCAGCCCTTCACCCCCGTACTGTGACCACCCTGCACTTCCAGCTACCTTCCTCCCCCAGTACTTAGAGCTCCAACACCTATTGCTTACAGTTCCCTAAATATGCCCTGCACCCGCTCAGCTCCATGCTTTTGTCCACATTCCTGCCCCTCTGCCTGACGGACTCCTACGCACACCCAGCTCAAGCCAAGCACAGGCCTCTTGTGGCTTCCTCTGCCCGGTCTTCCCTGAGGGCTCTGGGCAGGCTCTCTCCCGGACTTCCCCTTCCCCACCCCGCCACGCTGCAGTGTGCTCTCTCGTTGACACACTGGCTTCCCCCATAGGTGGTCCCCTTGAAATTGGGAACTTTGTTGTTTATATGTAATCTGTAGGACCCAGCCCAGGTTCTGGCACATAATTGGGATCATCATTCTTATTAATAGGAAGCTAAAGGTGGAGAGGCTCTTGATCCGCCAGATATTAGAACATACTATAAAGATGTGACTATCAAAACCATGTGCTCCTAACCCACCCAAGGGGAGGGTATTGTTTATATCTCCACAGGAAAAGAGGGACCAGACTTCAACCGGTGCTCCAAGATATGAATGCAACATGCCGGCATGGAGTAGGGAACCATTGGAGAGGTCTGAGGGGCCGGCCCCAATCCCTACTAGGTGGACACCTGCCCCTCCCCACAAAGGAATTTACTTCAGAGGACAGCACTGAAGCTTCAGCTCAGGGAGAGGGATATGTCTGATCAGAGCACATGGGAGCAAATGAAGGGGGAGGAAGAGAGAGTGGAGCACATCCTGGTCCACCAAGCCTTGACTACGATATTCCCGCTCTGAGCAGCCAATTCACAGAGAAGACCATATAGCCGGCCCCACTATGATACACGACATCCCTCACTGACCATAGCCCTACAGGGAACAACACTGGAGACACAGTGTGGGAATTGCACCCGATCCCACCACACCGAGGCAAAACACTCCTAAAGGCCAATAGACAGTCCTTGAACTAACTACAAGCTTTT